CAAGGCAATCATAAAAAGTATTGCCATCAGGGCTATAATGATTTGTCAAATGATAACCTAAAACTTGTCAAAGTTTTTTCTTTTCTCTATGATATTTACCACAGAACAGATATTTACTGAAAACAACAATCTGGTAAGTTAGACATAAAATTTAGTTCTTGGTTAGATAGGGATACAATGAGTATTATCAACCGGATGTTTTGCCAACAACACAGAAGAACAACTTTTATCAGCTCTTACAGTAGCCAACTTTGTTTTTCTATAAAAATATCCACTTTTTTTAACTTTTAACAACTGCTCTAAAAAACTCTTCATGCATGACGGTGACATGTTGACAAGAGTTATTTTCTTCGCGATTATCAAGACAAAAACGTTTTAAGAAAAAAATACTAGCAACAAAATGGTTTAAACTCATGCAAGTTTTAAAATTAGAAAGCAAATTGGTTATATTAAAGCCGTATTGCTGCTCTACTAGGAACAATCATAAAACCTTTTTACTGTTTGGTTCTGTAACATTCTTACACATTTGCTACTTGGGTTGGTAGAAGAGCACCAATAGAATGGCCTCCCATATCTCCAGATCAGACACCATTAGATTTTTTCTTATGGAGTCACTTAAAATCTGTGATCTACAAAACTCAGCCTCATTCTAGATGAAGATGAAGATCTGCGACAACGAATAGTTTAAGTATGCCGAGCTATTCCACCACAAACATTTCAAAATGTTCGAAGGGAATTTGAGAATAGACTGATAGATTGCCTACAGAATAATAATTTGAGAATTGTATTTAAAAAGCTAAAAATTAAAGTGTTTTGGATTATTGTTGAACAATTTGTTTATTTATGCTTTTATTTAGCTTAGTGGAGGTCATTTTTGTGGTCATACTACACTGAGAGAAAAAATGTTGTAGAATCATTCAAAACGATAATAATTCAAAGGGATTCAAATATGTTTTGGCGTCATTGGGGTGTCCCATTAAATTAATATGTGTATAACAATTTTATAATACATCTTAATATATCTTTTTGAAACAACGTTGAGAAAGGCAATGAATTAAATAGATTTCTTTTTGTATATATATATTTTAAAGAGGGTACACTTTAAAAGTTTTTAAAAGTATTGTAAAACTGTTGGTAAATGAATATAAAACTACAAATTTTTCTATTTGAATCAAATTTACCCGATTATTTAAATTAATATAATTTTATATGCTTTTCATGGCATGATGTGTAATGTCATATCCTAGAAACGGTTTTGAGAAATCTTTCATAACTTTTTAGGTCCAGCATTGCTCGTTTTGAAATAGACTCCCTGTATAAAGAAATTAAACTATTTGAAGTTTAATCTCGTCCTTTGAAAACGGAGAACATTGAGTAAATTGAATGGTAGAATTGTCGTTGTGGCCAAATCAATTTCATATGGTCTGAAGCATCGGCGCAAAAGCCACGCCAATTCGAACCTGAAGACTTTGTTCAATTCTCAATTGGCATGGGAACCGCAAGCCGAGAAAAGTTAAACTTGCAATTTCTTGGAAAGAAATTTTAGTTTGGTAGTTTAGGTTTGGAAAGGATTTTATATTTTGATATTACTATTTTTATACCGAGTACACCGAAAATGCGATAAACGATGTTGTTTCATATAAAAAATAATGTTAACTTTGTTAGAGGAAACTATTAAAACTGTTAATACTGTGGGTGAGATTATGAATATGAATAATATCTCTAACTATACCCTCTAACAAATAAAAAAATGTTCCGCTGAAAGGAAATCGTGCATAATAAAAAAGTTTCTCTTTTACGAAGGCTGGAAATAAAAATCCTATTTTTATTTGGCCGTCATAAAATCAAAAGCTTTGGACATCCGCTTTATGACATAGTTGCGCGTTTCTCTGGATATGAATGTCTTTTACGGGATTTTTTTTATACTATCTAAATTGTAATGTATAGGAAAAGGAAACATATATTTGGTGGCCTTAAAAATACTAAATGTGTTCAATATATTATTAAGTTTAAACTAAATATAAAAACGCTCGGGCAAATTAAACTCGATGGGTGCTAAATTCATGGTCAGAATGTTTTAATGCGTGCGTTCCCAAACAATATTAATTACGCAGACCGCCATAATCCCGCTTATAAATTAAACAAGTTTATTTACACATAAGTTTGACAAAAAACGACGCACATAGTTAATAGAGACACAGATCGATTGCCTAAACCCACAAAAACCTGTTTTAACATAATTACCGGGCAGGTTTTGTTAATAGAGCTTAATTACTTCGTGAATGCTTATCCTGCAAAAATGTTGCAGGATTGTTTGAAAATAATTAGTCCACAATCCTTTATTATACAGAGTGTCCGCGGATATTTTTAATACAATTTCTGTTGGATTTTATGCATTTAATATTATAAATATTATTGCAATAATAAATATGTCATAAGTTATGAGAGAGGTAAACAAGTTTTTCCAGATTGTTGGGCACAGTAAATTTTATTCCGCACCACGCGCCAATCGTAAACCGAACAATTAAAGCTAATTAAAACGTTAGAGGGATCTTTTTAATTTGAACGTCCGGAGTGAAATAAACTTTGCGAAAAGGGATTATAAAAATTTAAATACTTTGAATCAAATAAAAATTTTAATATATATTTTTTAAAATTTATCTTGCAGAAAATAAAGGTATTTTTAAATGAATATTTTACCAACTGAGTTCTTATACGTATCCCGCAACTGCACAGCATTCATGTGTTTGATGGATCTAAATTTTTATCCCGGCTGGTAAATCTCTTTTAGAAGTTCGTGGATGACAGTTTCGATGGTTAAGGCCCTTCCCAAAGTTAGGTTAGTGGAGTTCGGGACAAGGAGGGAGAACATTTTGGTTATTGGGGGACATTAGTTTGACCCAAAACTAAGTGCAATCAGGAATCCCCCTCAACCAGGGATTTAGTAATGCCCCCATTCAATTGGGGTTCATGAATGGGGTTTGGCGGGTTAGTACGCTGCTAGGACCCATCCTTGCTGACCTCCTGTTCTTCTGCGTCCATATCTGCTAAAATCGGAAACTGCTGAACGCATTGTTTGCTATCCATTTCTTCGGTCTAGAGATAAAGAACTTTCGATAGATAGTTTTCGGTTGGCACCGATAGTTATCGATAGTTTTCAATAGTTTTAATTTGTATTACCAAAGTAATGCGAAGTTATGTAATAATTTGGGCAAGTTGTTTGCCCCACTGTGCGAAACCATTTCTTTAGTCTAGTGGTCGAGAACTATCGATAATTCTAGTTAATGCAATGCCCGAGCGTTGTGTTTTCTACGTTTTGTGGTAGAAATTGTATTTACTTTTTTTTAATTTATTTATAACAATTTAGATGTTGCCTTTATATTTTATTACATTAATTAAAATACAAATGTTAAAAGCAATTATAATTCTTCTGGCTCGATAGTTTCAGGTGTCGAGTGGTTTATTATGTTTATGCTAGGCAAGAGGGGCACTTGCCCCCCTGAAAATCTCCAACCCAACTAATTTATCAGCGAAATATTTTGGTTATATTACGATGTTATTAAAAAATTAACATAAATATATTTAATTTAGGTATTAACATTATTTTATGTAATGCAAATATAACCTAAATGAAGTATTTCTACATAATATTGGCAACATTGCTTTAACTGAATCGGATAATCTGACAACCATGGAAATAAAAACGTGTGCGCACCAAAATCCATCCTGGTGCGCAGCGTTGCCAACTTAGCGACTTTGTCGCTAGATCTAGCGTTTTGAGGTAGCCATTTGAGACATTTTTTTTATGATTTGCGACGTGTCTCAAACCTAGCGTTTTTCACATTGTGTTGGCGACATTTTTGGAGACATTTTAACATTGATAATGAAATTGGTTTTTAAACAAATCAACAAAATAATTTCTAATTTAAAAAATTTCAAATTAAAATTTGTTACGTTGGCATGGCCAACTTGGCAAAGACGCATCCGTACGTCATCCGTCAAATGTCAAAAACTGAAAAAATAGCCGGGCAATTGTCAAATCCACGGTCTTATATAAGACCGTGGTCAAATCCCATTATTTATTTATTCTTTTATAATCTGTGTTATGGAAAATCCTTACGGATTTTGGCACTTTGCAGGCTTATATTAATGACGATGCAAAATCGACTGAATTTCTTGAAAATTTCGAGGAAAATTTATTAATAAACTAATTTTTTTTTAATTTTTTTATTTACCTTAATAATTATTTATTTTTATATACCTATTTTATTTATTTTTCTTATTTTAGAATGACTTGATTTTTTAATGATTTATGTTATGTTATTTAAATAAAATATTTGTTAACAATTATAATTATTAATTATTTTTGTGTAATAATAATGCCATTTTCTAGTGTCCTTTACTACAACCACGTTAAAATTCTTTCTTTATGAAAAATCAATTCTGTTTAAAATTTTGCAACCACTTTTTTCTCTTTTTTTTTAAAATTTGCGACATCTGGCGATTTTTAAGTGCCAAATAATTTAGCGATTTCTAGCGACTTTTGAAGAGCTTGGTTGAGACTTTTCACAATAGACTGTTGGCAACACTGCTGGTGCGCATTAAACAGCTGTCATGGCAACATTTTTATTGAAAAGTTGTGTAAGTTGTGTAAGTTGTGTAACTTGTTATTGTTATTTATATGTAGTTATAGTTCAGCATATTTCAGGTAAGTGGAAGTGAAATTGCAAGCTATCGTAATTGATTTACTTTCGGTAAAAAATCAAGTTGACCTTTTAATAGACAAGCTCCAGATTCTGTATTTTACACAGTACACAATGTTAAAAAAATGTCAGGAAATAGCAAACGATCTTAATGTTGAAATAAAAGTTCCTCGAATAGTCGGTCGTCAAATCCATCGAAGCAATATTCAAAGTCAATCTGAAGAGAAATATTTTAAAGTATCATTTTTTATACCCTATTTGGATTCAATAATAAATTCTCTTAAATGTAGATTTGCAATGGATACAACTTTGGCTTTTTCATTATCATGGTTTCATCCAAAAGAAGGTGAAATTCTTACTGATGATCAATTGCAAAATATATCGGAAAAATTTGGGGTCGAAAATTTAAAAGCTGAATACAGGACCTGGCAAAAGTTTGGAAAAATAGAAAGTATACAGAAGATATAGGTAAACTTTTAAATGAAGAATGCTATTTTTTTCCCAACATTAAAATGTGTTTCCAATATATTTTGGTTTTGCCACGACCTGTTCTAAGTGTGCTAAAAGACCTCTTAGCACACTTAGAAGGGTTAAGACCTGGCTTTGGTCAACAATAGGAGAAAGTCGTCTTTCTGGGCTTTGTCTAATAAGTTTGAATCAGGATTACGTAAATCAAAATCAAAATACTATAATTAAAAAGGTGATTGATATGTTTGCCGCAAATAAAAGAAACTTAAAATTTCTGACTGATGAGTAGATGTTTTAGTTTTGTTTTTGTTAATTTCTTAATAAATATTATATGATAGTAAAAGCTGTTTTATTAAGTAAGTTTATGTGCGTATAATGTATTAATATATTTTGGAACCAAGGTATTTTTTTGCTACTCATTAAATTATTTGTTTTCCCTCCCTGGAAAATTTTGTATGGGCGCCCATGGTCACAGGGGCCCAGAAAAGGGTCAAAAGTTGAAAAAAAACAACCCCTGCATTAATAAACACCTTTTACGGAAATCCCATCTGATCCTTTTTCTGAATTTTTCATGTTTTTGTGATTTTTTTTTATTCTTAATAATTCTTGTTTTTTGTATGTTTTTTTCAGCACCACTTCGCTATTTTTTTTATTTTAATGCGTTACTATAATACGAGTATAGTAATATATTATGCAATATATTTTTAATATGGGGATTACGAGAAAATTTTAAGGTACCTACATATATATTATATATATATATATTAGGGTGAGCCAAAAAACTAACCTATCGGATTTATGGGTTAAAATGAACCTACATACCGAGCAAAAAATTTCCCTGCAAGGCAAAATTTTTTGCTCAATTTTAAAAGGTGTCGGTGAGCATTCTAAGTTTTCCATTGAAATAACACGTAAAAAAATCTTTTTTCATTAAAAATACCATAACTTTTGAACCGTTTGAGATAAAATTTTTTACGTCGCGGATTCTTGTAGAGCATAAAATTTAAATTTTTAAAAAAATCTATACCAGGATTGTTTTGTTTAATTCAAAAATTCGTATGTTTGAAAGCTTTGAAAAGTGTAAAAAATCCCTAAAACTGCAGTACATGTATTATGGTAATTTAAAAAGAGGACCTTTTTAGTTTTTATTTTTTTAGTACTATCTTTCATTTTGTATATAATACACTTATGTATATAATATACTTAATTTTTATTAAAAATTACACAACAGAAATAATATATGAAAAAAATTATTAAATATCATAAAGTCCTAAACCAACTGTATTAATTAAAATATTTTTCCAGGAAAAGTCAACAACAGCTTTTTGTAACCTGTTCAGGTGGATGGCAGGGGTGACACAATGCACTTTGAACTTTAGTGAGGTGTTTATGCACATTGGGATTCGCGGAACTATACACTGTTAAACGAAACCTTATACAATAATTACCTTTTATATATTCTGGATTGCTCCTTTGTGGAGCGGTAGAGATATACGTCTGACGTATACAAGTGGTACTGTCGTACGGAGGTATTTTTTAAATAATTAATTTAATAAAATTCTAATATGACTAAAAAATTAAACTTTAAACTAAAAGTAAAAAGTTGCCTAAATAAATTAGGCTTTTAATTTAAAATCTCGATGCAGCACAAAACCAATTAATGTAAATTAATTATTTAACGCGTTTTGCTTGATACTGGGTGCGACTGTTTGTCGTTAAAAGGCGAGAGAAATTGTTGTTAAAAATGCACCGATCACTATTTGCGATAGCTGAAAAATTGATGCAATTTGGCATTTTGCTGCGGCGCGGGATTTAATGAAAGTTCAGCAAGAAAATTCGATATTTGTTTTTCGTTAATGGCTTCGATTGTAATTTGAAAAGTGAGCTTTGTTCATTTTAACGATTTTTGTTGTTTTCGTATTAATTAAAAGATTTTTATCAAAAACGCTCGTTTTTTATTTCAAATCATATAATTATAACTTTAAATTTTTTGCCCTCACCATTTTGCCCCCACCACATTATACATATTTATCTTAAATAAGAACCCCATTTTTTCATCACAAATTGATGGTGCACGTGGTATCGTGTACAAGTAGGATTTGGTAAAAATATTTTTCAATACAGGGTGATTATTTACAAATAACAAGTATGAATTTATGCTTTGGTTTTTTATATTGTGGCTTTCGCTATTTAGCTATTCATATTTTTTCGCTTGGTTTGATGTTTGATTAACATGTTACATAGCACCTGTGTATTTTTGTTAATGCCGTTTTTGGGTTCCTTCCGTTTGCATTGTTTAAATTTATATTATCAGTGCTTTACTTGAAGTATTTTCTTTGATCCAAGTGATCCATTGTTTTTCCTAGTATTGCGACACTTTACGAAAAGTCTTCGAATAGAAATATTAATGATAATTGGTTAGGGTGGTATATGCAGATCACAAGAGAAAGTTGCAAAGCTTTTTAATGAAAAACACCTCCTCCTCAGGCAACTGTATCTAAAATACATGTACAATTTTGTAAATATGAAGTTAAACCAATACGCAGGACGCCTCATTTTATTGATGAAAATTTGAAAGTCTATATTTTATTAGCTTTTCAAGAAGATCTAACAACTTCTACGCGTCAGGTTGCACGTGAAAACGACTGTTTTTAAAATGTGTAAAAGCCGAAAAAATGCATCCATATAAACTACAACACGTACAAGAATTGATTGACGGTGGGTCTGATGAAAGATTGCAATTTTGCAAGCAAATGCTGGATATATTAAACAGGAATGTTATTTATTCTGAAGATATTTTTTTTTCTGTTAAATCAACATTTATTCTAAATAGTCAGAATTGCAGAAACTTGGCGGGAATTGTTGGTAATCTACTTTCATTGAAAATCTTAACGGGGCATGATATCTGAAAATGCTAAGGGAACAAGTTGTCCCAGCTTTAGCAGAGTTGTTTTCCAGTCCATCAACAAGATGATGCACCACCCCAGTATGCTCATCCTGTACGCAATTATTTAAATGACGATACCTTTCCACACAGGTGGATCGGAAGAAGAGGTTTTCTTGAATGGCCAGCAAGATAACCAGATCTAAGACCTCTATAATTTTTAATATGTCATTACATTTCACCATGTTAAATATGACAAATTTAATACAAAACAAACAAATTTCTAAATAAATCTTCTGGAAAACAATTCACCACAATTAGTTAACTTACAGACGGATAATTTTAGTGAACCGTTTAGTGTTCCAAAATAACACATTTTAACGCTCATTAACGTGCTGACCTTAACTGCGACCTGGGAAATAATTTCATAACCCGAAGACTGGACCTCGACCGCACAGAACACAGAATAAATGAATATTTTAGAACCGCTTTCGGATTAATTATACAAAAGACATTTTAGGCAGACTTAAATCCCTATTCAATAAAATTTAAATGCATATTAACTCTTAACTGGTTGGGTGGACTTTGAGTGACTTAATTAATAATTTTATATACCTAATTGATTGTTTAAAAAAGTAATTTTTTATTTAAATAGGTAATAAATGTTTAGTAGAAAGTAGCAAAAATGGCGAATGTACTGCACCAAAAGTGTGTGCGAAACCTTAGCTCAATCAGTTGAGTGGAACTGGTTTAAAATTCAGTTCCAAGACAACAGGTGAAGTTCAAAAAGTTTTAAAATTATGTTTTTGGCGAGCATATAACCATAAAATTACATTAAAAGTAAAGTAAACACAAACAGGCAAATTGAATCTCACAAAATTTAGAAGTTTAATTTTCTAACTAGGCTTTATAAAGTTCAATATATCTTGGTTTAATTTCCAAACAAAACAAACAAATCAGACAGGTGGGTTGTAATTAAGTTTTATATCCTGCAATTCAATTATAAATCGTACCTCAAAATAATAAAATAAACATTGAATTATCTTTTTAGGAGAGACATTTTTATTTCATTTGTGTGTCCATTTAAATTTAAATAAGGTAAAACCTTATTCACTCAAGTTCATTTCTTATTCATTAAAGTTGCGAAGCGGTTTAGTAAAGATTTAATTAGGGACTATTTTAAACGTAACACGTAGTTTCACGGATTTTATTTTTAATTAAAGACATTCAGGCAGACATTTCAAAAAAATTTAAACTTACCTATAGCAAAACGGGGTTGTCATGAAACTTCTGGACAATCCCAATATAAGGAAAAATTTACTGATGCCACTGCATCTGATTCCAGTATTTTTATGTGTTCGTTTTGCCCATACTTACAAGATTAGAAAAAAACATAATTTGGAAAAATTCACATCCTTCTTCAACAAGATATTGCCTACCCATATTATTTGAATTAGCTAATGAGACACTAGAGATAACGAAATCGCCTCATTGAACTTTATTTTCTACAATGGTGGATGGCAAGGTAGTTCAGGTACAGTAGTACAGCAACACCTTCAGCAGCTTCTTGTGTTCTTTGTGGATCAAATTCAACCAAAATAAATACGTTGAATAGGTTTAGATGTAAAAATATGAATCTACAGCTTTAGATTATGGCCTTTTAAGTCTTCACGTGTGGATTCCATTCGTTATCGCAGATCTTAAGAAAGAGTCTAATGGAGCCCATTCTATTGGTCCTCTTCTACCAATCCACTGTTCTGGATAAGTCTGATTCAGCCAAGAACTAATAGCTACTACATAATCAGGTGGTGCCCCATCTTGTTGAAAATGCAATAAATTTTCATCCAAAGCTGCACAGAGAAAAGTAATCTCTTGATTTTACTATATCTGTCTTGACTCAAATAAATTATTTATTTCGATATGATACAAGAAGATATTTATTTGGTGGAAAACTTGGGTTTATTTGACTTTTTAAACTGATGGTTTGTTTAATACAAGTAAATATTTAGTTGACTTTTTATCTCAGGTTTAGTAGAATCTTACTTAAAGAAACAAAACATTTACTTGAAGTGAGTAATTCATTTTTTTAAATTAAATGT